AATTACATCAGTAGATGAAAGTGAAGTCCCCATTTGAATGTAAGATTTACGTCAGGGGTTAGTACATCATTTATATTTTTCCTATTTTGTCCTTAGGGAATCATGATAACAGGAACTTTAGAGAGACTATGCACATCACTATCAACCTAATAATGGGATCACATAGCTAATTATTTTAATGTAAGCTTTAGAATAATTCTATGGCACAACACTGACATTTTAGTTTTTTGTAAAGACCTAGCAAATGTGTTCAGGCCCTGGCATGCAGCCAATGATAGACATAAAATATAAATTTATAAACTTTCTCAAACTATTACTTTCATTATTTTTCAAAGTTAATTAAGTTGTTTTCATGTAAACTAAATAAATGACATATAAAGGTCCCAATATAAAAAATTGGACATACCCTGTAGAATAAGGTAAAACACAGTATTTCATAGTAATCATGTGGCCAGACAACATCAAAGAATAAATGCGTACCAACCATTGCTGCAAAATATAATTAAACTATTACATTTTCATAGTATTTTCTTTGTTGGATTCAAACTTTACAATTTTTAAGCGTTATCCTATGATGAAGCTTGTGAAGGCTACACCATCCTCATGAATGTTAAACAGCTTAGATCCAGTATGAATGGAAACATAAACATATTTAACATGTAACTTGACTCCTGGTGGCACAGTGAAATTATGCAAATAGATGACTAATTGACAGATAGATGGTAGAAAGACAGATACTGGAATGATGGCTAGCAGTTAAGAGCACTCATTGTGTAGACGAATTTCTAAACAGTCTTATTAAATAAACACAGAGCCAAATACAGGAGAGCTGTAGAGATCAGAGTGATAGCCACCAACTAACCTTAGCTCACCATGGTGCTGTAACTTCCCAAGAGAACTGAGTCAGCTTCATCCTGTCTAACCTGCACCTTTATTGCCTTGCTATTCTGCCTTCTCTTTGGCTCTAAGCCCAGCCACATCGCTTCCTCATCATTGCCTGTCTATACAGTCCTCCAGGTCTCTATGGTTGGTACTGGGATTAAAGGCATGTGTCACCACACTTGGCTGTTCCTTGAACAGAGACTCTGACCGCATGTGATCAGATTAAGGGTGTGTGCTACCACCACCTGGTTTTGCTTATGTCTGGCTATGACCTCTGATCTCCAGGTAAACTTTATTTATTAACATACAAATGAAATATCACATCATTGCTCTTGCAAAGGACCTGGGTTCAGTTCCCAGAACTGATGATGGCAGCTTACAGCCATCTGTAATTCTACTTCTAGGATGTTTAATGTCTTCTTCTAACCTCCATAGGCACCAGGCACACACATGGTACACATACACACATGCAGGCAAAACACTCACACACATAAAATAAAATCTAAAAACTATTTTTTCAAAATAAGATGGTAGATGTAGGTAGATAGATAATAGGTTTGTGCTTGCACTTGGTAAATCCATGTAAATTAACAAGGGATAATCCACATATGGCACCATTATTAGTGCCAAGTTCTTGTGGCTCGATAGGTCATAGGTACTGGGGGAAAATGTACTGCTATTATCCAACTAAATAGGCATAGTATTAAAATAACCCCTAATTACTCATTGCTATACTAATATATTAGTGTATCTCTCAACTTCCAAGTTGCATTTTTTTTTGCAGCAGATGGCTCTTCACACAGAGACCTACAACTGTTCAACATCCTAATAATAAAAGATTTGAATATGGGGCATAGACATTGTAGCCCCTCCTTCCAAAGCTCAGGGATCCTGGCAGAAAAGAAACTGGAAAGATTTTAATAGCCAGAGTGAGTGAATGACAAATGAAACAGTGTTTTTAGGACATAACTATACAGGATCACATATGAACTCACAGTGATTGTAAAAGTATGAACAACATAGGCACAAAATTAAACCAGACAAAATCCCAACAAGGAAAAAGGTTAGTCATGAAATCCCACCCTTAGCTGAGGAGATATTAGCAATTGGAGGCTGCCAAGAAAGGCCAAGTCAAGCTGGGCATGGTGGCCCATACCTTTAATGCAAGCACTCCAAAGACAGAGGCCAGTCTGGCCTACAAAGCCAATTCCAAAATAGCCAGGGCTGTTACCCAAAGAACCAAGTCATGAAAAAACAAAAAGAAAGGAAGGAAATGTCAGTTTTCTTCAGGGACGTGGCCCATGAAAAGCTCTCCATGCTCAATCAGATGGCTCTACAACATACATACACTGGCAAGACTGAATGGAATCAGGTAGAAAAATAAAACACACACACACACACACACACACACACACACACACACACACACACACTATACATACAATTGAGAGAATAGGAGAAAATAGTGGTGGGAGTAGATGGAGAATTAACTGTAGTAGAGAGAATGAGGTATGGACTTGATCCAAATACATTGTATGCATGTACAAATTTCTCAAACAATAATAAAATTATAATAAAATACTTTTTATTTAAAATAATTTAAGAAATTCTGCTCTATTTCTTTGTGCTTAGTGATAAATAATTCACAAGTCATATGAGGATTTCAAACGGTGTCCAATAGATGAATGGTAAAAATTCATCAATATAAACATACCAGTGAATGTGTTCTGCCCCAGAGAAATGTCATCAGAATCAACATGGACAAAGATGATTAGTCTTAGTGAAATAATCTAATCAGAGAAGGATAAATAATGCATGCTGTAACTTGTATACAGAGTCTGAAGGAACCAAAGTCAAAGAAACAGATGGAGGAATGTTCATTAACAGAAGGTAGGGGTGTGGAGACAAAAGAGAATTTGTTGTTGAAGGCTCTGAAAACATAAAGGAGACATCTACAACAGACTAGTCAGTTCCGTTGTAGTCTCTCACAGTCTTGTCTAAAACCAAAATCCTCCCCTCCCAACTCTGTACTAAGAACAGCTTGTGATAAATGCTACTGTTTGACGACATTTTTCTTCTTCTGGGAGAGTTTAGAAAACTTTATCAACCAATCTTAATATAGCCTCTCAAAATATGTCACAAAACACGTGTGGGTTGTGCTGTGAGGAAGCAACAGGAGAAACGAGGTATAAAACGCTCTGTGTAACTGAACTTGGGGTTTGGTGTTCGGGCTGGTGTCCCATGAGTTTGTCTTATGCATAAAATAAAACTGGTTCCTGGCTTTCAGCCATGGGTGTCTCCTTCTTTGATCATTTTCTGGAGCCACAGATGCTCAATTTATCAGATTAAATATGATTTTTCACCTATGAGTGGTATTTCAATAGAATGTTGAATATAATAAATATTATCAAAAATGCGCTACTTACTAGGGGAAAAAGAAATTTTTTAAGAATTCTCACAACAAAATGATAGATATTTGAGGGAAGGAATATGTTAACATGGTTTAGTTATTACAGTGTTTATAAACAATAAAATCAATTTGACTCCTTAAATGTTTAGAATAATTTGTCACTTAAAAATTAAATTAAGCCCCAGTCACTGAGCCGCCGCCGAGGACTCAGCTGCCTTCCCCTCGAGCCCCCTCCCTTCCCGACGCTCTGTGTCCCCCACCCACCCACCTGCCTTCTCCCGCAGCCACCTTCTGCAGGCCGTTTCCCCGCGTTCTCCCGCAGCCACCTTCCGCAGGCCGTTTCCGCCGAGGAAAAGGAATCGTATGTCCGCTATCCAGAACCTCCACTCTTTTGACCCCTTTGCTGATGCAAGTAAGGGTAATGACCTGCTTCCTGCTGGCACTGAGGATTATATCCATATAAGAATTCAACAGAAAAATGGCAGAAAGACCCTTACTACTGTCCAAGGGATCGCTGATGATTACGATAAAAAGAAACTAGTGAAGGTGTTTAAGAAGAAATTTACTTGCAATGGTACTGTAATTGAGCATCCAGAATATGGAGAAGTAATTCAGCTACAGGGTGACCAGCGCAAGAACATAAGTCAGTTCCTGACAGAGATTGGACTGGCTAAGGACGACCAGCTGAAGGTCCATGGGTTTTAAGTGCTTGTTACTCTCTGAAGCTTAAGTGAGGATTTCCTTGCAATGAGTAGAATTTCCCTTCTGTCCCTTGTCACGAGTTTAAAAACCTCACAGCTTGAATAATGTAATCATTTGGGGTCTGCTTTTAACTTGAACTAGTGTAATTCCATGCAATAAACTGAAAAGAGCCATAAAAACTTAAGGAGATTTTGAGAGATGGCTCAGAGATTAAGAACACTGGTGGCTCTTCCAGAAGACCCATGCTCAATTCCCACCACCCACATGATGACCTACAACCATCTTAAACACCTGTTCTTGGGGATATAATGCCCTCCTCTGGCCTCCACAGTCACTGAATACATATGATGAACAGATATATATGTAGACAAAACACCCACATGCCCAAAAATAAACCAATATTTAAATTGAAAAATAAATAAAATTAACAGTGGAAGGAATATTTCAGAAGTTAAAAGCACTTGCTGCTCTTACAGAGGACTACAGTTTGTCTCTGACATCCACATGGTGACTTACTATTATCTATAACTTCAGTTCCAGGAGATCCAACACCCTCTTAGAGACAATGTGAACACTAAGCATGCATATGATATGCTTATGTACAAGCAGACAAGGCTCTCATGCTCATAAATAAAAATCTTTAAAAATAACATACAAAGTAGAAAATAATGAAGATCTGTAACTACATGGATAAGCATAGATTAGAAACAAAAAGAAACAAAATATAGATATATGTAAGTATAATTGTAGGCATGTATGTGGATACAGATATTGATACAGATAAGACAGAAATAGATATAGTTACTTCAGATAAACTACCAACTCTATTTAGTCTCAAAGATTTTTATTTTTCAATTACAAATTTAAAATGTATACAGGTGTGGACAGTAATATGTGAATTGAAATACATTTTTGTATTAAATTTCTTTCTTTACATACATTGTTTTATTATTTTACTACCTATAGCTATATATTCATTCTGAGGAGAGTGTGAGAATTTCTTACATCATGCTTTCTGTGAACATATCCTAAGATGTAAAACTTTTCTGAGTGCTCCTTTGACTTCTGTGTTTCTCAGGCTGTAAATAATAGGGTTTAACATCGGGGTAATGACACCATACAGCATAGATATGAGTCTGTCTCTAGCAGGAGAGTGTTGACTGGAGGAGGGGCGGATATAGGTAAATATTGTTGTGCCATAAAACAAGAAGACTACAAGAAGATGGGAAGCACATGTGGAGAAAGCTTTGCGCTTCCCATCCACTGACTGGATCTTGAGGATGGTGGAGACAATGTATATGTAGGAGATGAAAGTAATCAGAAAAGCACCAACACCAAAAATACCTCCTACCACTAAAACAAGCATTTCTGCCACATAGGTGGATGAGCATGACAGAGCCATCACAGGTGGGATATCACAGTAGTACTGGTAAACTCGGTTGGACTTGCAGAAAGACAGGCTAAAGGTGGACATTGTGTGGAGAAAGGAGTTGAGAAACCCAGCTGCCCAGGTCCCAAAAAGCAGCTGCACACAGCGAACCTTGGTCATGATGAGAGAGTAACGCAGAGGGAAACATATGGCCACATACCGGTCATAAGCCATCACAGCCAGCAAGA